GTTTGGACGGGTAGCTGGAACTGCTCGCCGGAGCCATGCTGGTGCCTCTGGCAGTTCTGGTTTCGGGTGTACGGGTTTCTGAAGATACAACAAGGATCCTACGATGTAGGGACCTAGGGTCCTAGTCAGGTTGTCGTCATCATTGTCATCATCATCATCATCACCATCGCATCACGACCATTGCCACCATCACCAGCATCGTTGTTATCATTCTTGTCTTTGTCACAGTCAACATCTCCGTGGTCACATCATGGTCCGCGGCCAGAGTTTCACCCCGAGTGTCCACAACACCTCGGCCGGGGTTTGGCTGCATCCCTAGCTGGGAAAACACTGCACCTGTCCGGTCTTCTCCTTCTTGTCATTTCTTCTTGACATCCTAGCAACAGGATTCAGCGACTTACTCACACCTCTTCATAGTGGTGCCGCTTCATGCCACAGAGTTCTCCGCGAGATGCAGGTGTTTTTTGTTTTTAACCTGTGGGTGTGGGATGGCTCACTACTCTCTGCCCAGTCGGTCTGATGTGGAGTCCCGCTTTCCGATTGCATGCGGCCAGAAAACCTATGCCCTAGACGAGAAAACAAAAGCAAGGGCTGGGCCAGACATAGATGCCAAGCAAGACCCGTAAGTTCGACAAGGCTTAGGGTGCTTGGCTTGGGGTTTGTGCCACATTTACGGATTCGGGTGCCGGATCAAGACCACACCAGGGCCTGAGAGCCTCAACCTTGCGAGCCGGAGGGTGTACTCCATGCAAATAAAGCCGTACAGAGATCTAGGGTTATAGAGCCCTAAACCCCTAGACCCCTAAACCCTAAATAAACCCCTCAACCCTAAACCCCCAAATCCTGATGAACCCTATACAGCCCTCGGCCTTTGGTGCTCCAGAACATCTCATCCTCATCCTGCATCTTCTAAGTAAGTATGGGGTAGGGGAAACCCCTCAACTCTAAACCAAACCCTAAACTAAGCCCTAAAACCTAAACCCTAAACCCTAATCTAAACCCTAAGCCCTAAACCCTCGGCCCTAAACCCCAAACTAAGCCCCAAACCCGAAGCCCTAGGCCCTAAGCCCGAAGCCCAGGTCGGGGCTCAGGATTCTGGATTCAATGTTTGCCTTCAGCCAACTCTTTAGGTCCTTACCTTCTTGTAACATCTTATAACCTAACCCTTGCAGGCCGACCCACGGGAGCTGGCGAAGATCGCTGGAGGAGCCGTGGCGTCGCCAGAGGTTCCTAATTCAATTTACTTCTTCGTTGTTGACAGCTTGCGCTGGTGCACTCCAGTGTGTCCCACTACATCTGCAGCAGTCAGTCGTTTTGATGAACTGTTGCAGCACAGTTGTTTCCGAACTGTTTGAGGTCGTGTGCCTGTAGTGCTGAGAAACGGCCGTGCAAGAGTCATGTGGCTCCTGGAAGCAAGCTTTTTACCAGGGAGGGGTCCTTTCTTCAAAGCGACCAGCCACTAGAACTCCACTTGGAGCCAATGTCCAAGATCCCAAGGCTGAGCTTGCAGACCATGCACCCAAAGCCAGGTTCTTCCTTCGCAGGCTTTGGAGGCAGAGCCGCGATCAGCCCAAAGTGATGAGGCATCAGGGCAGTAACTGAATGCACATGCTGTAAGGTGGGTGCAGCCCGGCGAAAGCTTCATGACATGGACTGCTTTTTCACTGCCAGGCTGACCAGGACACCGGGCCACAGGAGCTGAGGAGCGCTGGGGGTGCCGCATTTCGCGGCACCGCCTGCGACGCTCGAGTGGGGCAACAGTGGGTGAGTATTCTTCCACTGGTGCCGCGGCAGGACTGCCGCAGAAGCTTCGAGCGACGCCAGGCCTTTGCCATTTGTTGCATGGGCGGAGCGCGCATCTCTCTCTGCACATCCTCAAGCCCAGGCCCAGGCCGCCGCCTGCACGGCCCGAAGCGGAAGAGCCGAGAAGAGTTTTGCCCCGGCCGGCAGCGGAGGAGTGTCGACGCTGTGGCACCAGCTCCTCAGTGCACACTGTCGCATTCTGCACGGATGTGTGTGCGTTTTTCTCTGTGCAGTGAGGCTTTCTCGGCGAAGCTGCCTTCTGCAGCAATTGTGGACTGCGTCGCCCGGCACCGTCGCCACCAGACGTGCCGCCTCAAACCCATCTATGGACGCCTGGAGCAGACTTATGCCACATGTCCGCAGTCAGTATCTTGGATCCATGCGCGACGACTACAATGGCCTTTGGAAGGCACCAGTCCGAGCAAAGAGCGCTTCTCCACACCTGCTGTGCAGCCATCGACGCCTTCATCCCGGAGGCGAGGGGTAGGTGGTAATTTGTCCCAGACTGTTGAGGAGTGGACGACGCCGAAACCTCATCGTTAATTGCCACACTTTTTTGCTTGTGTTTATTCTGGGGCCGTTCCAGGTCTGATGCGTCTCGCGAGGACGGCATTTCTTTGAGACAGATTGTGGGCGGAGAGCTCAGTTGCTGAAGCGGTCTACTACAGAGTGTACAGCAGTGGGTTTCCATTCGCTGAGCGAAATATCCAGTTGTCACATGTTTCGCAGAATGGACAGAATGGAGCATAAGCGAAATCAGGAAGGAGATGCAATGTCGTGCCTCCGTCTTCTTGCTTTTCTCTTTCGAAAACTCGGTGTGAGCATCGAGGAACACTGGCTAGCAGCTAGCCTAGACGTTTGAATCTCCACTGACTGATTCTGCGCTCCTATGCTTTATCCAGTAGCCGTGACCTCTAAGGCCAGCAGCAGCAGCAGCTGGGTCTACTTCAGTCGCAGCTGCAGAGCGTTCAGCAGCTTCTTACGCACTTGGTGGCGAAGGTGCACTTCGCTGAAACGAAACGGAGGGGATTGGAGGGGTGAGTGAAGGTAAGTTTATGAGATCTGGAGCTCAAAGGTGTGACTCGGATGTGCTTCTTTATTCCTTTGCTTTCTGGCTCCTTGCCTTGGCACCTTCGTGGATCACGGGTTGCCTATCTTCATCCCTAATGAGAGCTGGCACGGCTCATGGCACAAAGGAGTGTTGCTGATGGCATAACCCCTGTGAGTTTTCAAGGGCTTCCCCCAAGCATGTCAGGTTTTTTGTCCTGAGTGCCTGAGTGCTACTTTTAACAGCAGCAGGTTATTCCTTGGCCGAATGCGAGTTGCAAGCGGGTTGGCCCGAAGAACACATGCATTTGCAATTGCAATAGGGTCCAACTTCAAAGTACACGGAGTGCGTTCTGGATCAGCACTTTCTGTTCCGACTGGATTAGTGGTAGTGGTGCAGGGTTTCGGGATTTGGAGTTGGGCACGAATCCGCAAATTGTTATCGTACTGTCGGATGGAGTGCCCATCAGCATGGAACGGTACCTGCTTGATTCATGCTTGAGTCTGGCGAAGCGGATTTCCCCCCATCCTCTCACCAGACAAGGAAATCCCGCTCATAGCAAACTCTGCAGATAAGTTTGGACACGTAGCATCGCCGGCGCACATGCAGCAAGAGCAGCAAACGCTTCCGCAAGGTTACATCCGTCCATGGCGAGCCGTGAACAGCTTTGCCAGGAAGCATCCTAACAGAATGGTTTCCAGTTGTGCAGGGATCTTCGCCTCGGCTTCCTGACGAGCCTGTCATCAAGGCTGCTGGACAGCATAGTCAGGGCTAGTGGATGCGCGCGCCCTCTTCTCGATACCAGAATGACCTGACTTGCTAGCCACCTGTGGCAGGTGACTAGGATTTTTGGCGGAGTCTCTGCTATGTGATTGTTGCCAGAGCTGCCAAAGGCTGATGCGAGAGCCTTCTGAGTTCTTCCGAGGCTGATGCTGCTGTTCATGCGGCCATGGACGAGGCACAGAGGAAGTTGACTTCAGTGCCGCATGGCCCTGGCAGGTCTGAGAGCTTTGAGAGCTTTTCCTGCAGGTGAAGGCGAAGGTCAGCGTTGCCCATGCGCAAACCAGCCCGCGTGCCATGATCAGCACCGGGCTGCAAGCTTCAGCAAACATGCAAGACGTTGATGCTTGGCCTTTCATAGAGTGTCCGTGACTGCAGAGGGTTTAGGGATGCGTAGTTTGATTGGTCTGCGGTACGATCTGAGGCTGTGAACACTGTGCCTCCAAAGCCAGAGACCAGACCGAAAACAGAGCCGACGCCATCGGTGCCCATGCCGCTGCCAGCGATGCGGGATTCTGCAGATACAGCTGGAGGTGCCTTCTAGTGAAGTCTCGTGTCAGGCGTAATCGAGGCTTTTCAAAAGCGCTTTCTTGCAGCCTGAGACCCCGGCAGCCATGAGACTGCCAGTGGCAAAGGTGCCAGCCCACGCTGTCTTCCGGAAGCTCTGGCACCGACAATCCGGGGCCAGCTGGAACCGTCCTGGAACCCACAGATGGTTGGCGTGCCGCGCATCCTGTGTCCCTCCGATCTTTCTTTGCTCCTGGCCTTTCATCAGACCGTGACGTTGTCGACTTTCTTGATCACGGCATTGTCCAAGGTTCGGCTCAGACGACGATTGCGCGGACGGCGAGCTGTCCGATGGTAGCATCGATCTGATGTCCGGCGACTTCACACTGGAGCCTGTTCGCTGATACGGGGAGCACAGACCAATGTCGGAGCTGGTGCTCCAAGGAGTCTTGCTTCCCTGTGACGTGTATAGCTGCTTGCGCCGAAGGCGAGAAGTTATCCATTTGCCCGGTTGAGGAAGTCAGCGAAGCGGCTGCTGTTTGCATCACAAGGAAGGACAAAGCCAAAGCATGCAACTTGTGTTGTTGAAATTTGCCTTCCTCAACGGGGCAGGCCGTTTAGTAACTTTGGGGGCACGGCGGTCTCTGCGCAGTCGACTACAGTATCTTGGTAGCTGCACAAACCAGATTGCTTGGAGCATACTTGTTGCGCCGTGCTGTCACATCTACGGCATTGTACGGTAGGGTCCAGCTGTTCAGGGTGAGCACCTGTATTTGGCCAGCACGACACAAGAGTTGCTTGTGAGCAGCACACAATATAAAGTCATATAGTGTAGAAACCTTATAAACAACCAACGTGACCGGTCTTGTGCATGTCTTGCAGATGTGAGCACCCGTGTTTTGTCAAAAAGGGATGCATGTGGCCCAAGCGATCTCCGTGATCAAATGGGACAGATGCCCAACGGGAGCAGCCACTCCAAAGTGAGCTGTTCCTGTGCACAAGGGGGCTTGGACAGCGGCCGAGCGGAAGACTGCGGCATACATCAGCCAATCAGTATATGAGAGCCACTCTAAACTTCGGTGCTGCCGAGTAACCTCAATTCGTAAGACATGGCGATGGGGCTGCCAAAAGAAATCACTATTTAATAGGCTTACATATATTGTTTTATTATGTCATTGACTGATAGATATTCATTATATATAGAACTATATTTTGATTATACTAAGGACGAGACTACATCGAAAAATTGATTTGAAAGGAAAAATTAGAATTGATATACTTTCCTTTTGACACTTATAATAATTAAGCATCCAGAATTCCTGTGACTTTTCTTTAAAAAGTTTATTTTGAATTAAAATTAAGGAGGATTCGCTGCTTCAAACATTCTTGACATAAGTTGTAGGGTTTAAGATCTAAGGCGTAGGGTTTAGTGTCACGTATTCAGGATATAGGATTCAAAATTTCGGGAGTGAGGAACTAGAAATTCTAATACGAATATTTTTTTTGTAATTGATCTTTAAATCTTCGTAGTTATAAATATTATTATGTTAATAATTAGTGGAATTAGAGAATTCATATAAGTATGAGAATTATTCAAATTCTCGTCTGTTTATGATAAATTAAGAACTTGCGGTAAGAGGAGTATAAGAGAATAAATAATACATATAAAATATTTAGGTTAAGATGATTTATTTGGAATAGAGTCTATTATCGTGATTATGAATTTAATTTTACTCGTATAATTTATATAATTAAGTGTGAATTATTAATATTGTTGTTTTAATGGATATATATCGTTCTGATTAGGTATGGAATATTTTTGATCTTTAATATTTCTTTGGAAAGTGAATAGATATATAAAATATTATATATAAATAAATATAAGTTCTGGGTAGAGTTGGCTTATTATTTATGAGTTATATATTAAATTGATTTATCTATGAGCTAGAATTTAAATATCGAACATTTTTTTGAATTTATTTCTTTTACTTTCAAGATATTTTATTTCTAATTTTTGAGTAGGAATATGTCTGAATAAATGAATAAGTCCGAAGAAGAACTTTTCGGGTTAGGATGTTAATTTTGATTCTTAGGTTTGGTTCTGTATTATGGGTCGTATTAATTAATTCGGTCTTACGAAATTAAGATATAAAATATAAGATGTAAGATGTCCAACGATTGTTTTGGACCAATTTTCGTTCCTAGGCTTGGGGCCGTATTAAATATTACTATAATTACGGCCTCACGGAACTAAGATCCAAGATCTAAGATTCCCATTTATGGAAGATTCGCTGCAAAAATTCTCTGGGAGTCTTGGATCTTGGTTTCGTGGGACCGTATTAATTAGTACGGTTCGTATTAAATTTCACATATCTACGCCCAAGTAAGGGAACTAAGATGTTGTCCGAAGACTTTTCAATATGTCTTGGTTCTTGGTTCCAAAGAATTATCTGAATTAATACGATTCGTATTAATTAATACGAATCCAGGCCTGAGAATCAAGATTCGTTAGATTTTTGATTCTTGATCTCGTATTTATTATCACGGCCCATCTTAATTAGTACGGGCCCAAGTAGGAGAACCAATTCGCCAGAATTTTCCGAACCCTGGTTCTTGGCTCTTGAATTCTATATTATAGTCCGTCTTGCACAGCCACGGAGATGGGTAGCACCTATATTGGGCCAGGAATCTATTTACGATCGTTTCAGAACCGTTCCATCTAGTCGAAATAATCCTGTATTATTTTCGTGATCTTTGATTCATGACCCGTATTATTGATCACGAGTCAGGTGCTTCGTATGGATTTCAGTCATTATTTCTATATGTAGTTCTATCAGAATATCCAGAAATTGAAAAATATCATTATATAGTCCTATCAAGTCGTTAGAAAATCCTGCGACAGATCCTGAACCCTATCAGATCCGCGAGCTCTCAAGCCATGGATCCATATTAGCGAATATAGTAGCTATTGGTAGGGATCTTTGTTACGGTACAAGGAGGTCTCTGCCTTAAAATTCTCATTTAGGGTCAGAATTTTAGATTGATAGTCTAAGGAAATAATACTTATTTAATAACTGAATTCCTAGATTATTTAATTATAATATCGGAGTTCATTGACAGCATTCAATTTAAGTTTTTCACGGTAGTAGTGGTCAACTTCGGATTTACGGTTAATCTTATAATCTAGTTGAGACTCTAGATGAATGGCTTTGTGCTGAGGTCGTCCAAAATATTATCAAAATAATTAGGAGTCTATGATCATGTAAGAATTATGAGATTTTTCTAATAAATCCTCAAAATAAGAAATGTTCAAATTTTGAGGAAGAGGGATACCATCGTACGGTTTATGATTGAGGAAGCGTTCGTGGGCTGCCTGGGAAATTTTCAGTCTGGAAATGGAATCTATTGTACGGAGCGGACAACGAATAACGACAATATCTCAAAATACTTATGCTATCTTATTCTTAGATCTTATTAATATCAATAGAAAAAATTCTATTGATATGATTTATCAGATCTATATATTATTAGCTCATATAAGATCGCCAAAATCGGCATCTAAACGAATCTCATAAAAATAAGACATGAATTTAAGACCTTGATAATTCGAATCCGAATATGATTCTTTTATGAAGAATTATGAGATTATAGGAGTCTTTATATAAGAATTCAATTCTTCATATATGATTTCTGATATATGGTATTTAGGAGCTACGAGGAAGAGAATATATTATCATCGAATATTCAGATCTCTATAAAAAGATATTGAGAATCTTGGCCAGCTTCAAAGATATGGGAATATTGAAAAATGTTTGTGCCTTGATTTTTTTTGGGAGGGACTTTGATATAAAATATTTACGAATATATAGAGATTATATCAAACAAATTAAGCATCAAATATTACGGCTTCTATATTTTGATATAATCTTAATGTATTTGCGGGTGAAATGCACGCACTCTAGAAGTATTTCGCAACCATCATGTACAGGGTGTGGGCTACTGTTCCAAAATTTTGCTTAGTATCCTAACGCCGACCCTTAACCTCAAATCCATAAGCCTTAACAAACGACCATTATCTGCAAGGCCTTGAGATAGGTCATGTGGTATCAAAATAATAGAAGGGTTCGCACGAGTCGTACCTCAAAATCTGCGCGGGTGTGTATGGTAGAAACAAGATTTTCAGAGGTAGAAACAACGATGACGAACAAAATGTGCACAACGCTTTGGGGGGACACGCTTTCCGGAGGCGCAATTATTTCCGGATTGGTTTCTGAGGTGGATTTTGGAGGGAGGATTCGTATAATATAAATCTCTAATTGATTATCTTGTCTATTATACATTTTCTAATGGATAAATTAAATCTAGAAGCAAATCATTTTCTGATTCTTGATATATATATATATGAGAATTAGATCAGCCAAGGTGTCTCGATTGCAAGCAGATGTCGTGTTCTAGAAGAGATTTGTGTTGAAGATTTGGATTTTTCATAAGGCACGATAATTAATCATAAATATAATACGGGGCGTTTGCCGATTGAAGGCTTAGAATTTGAGCTTTAGTAATCGGGAGTCTAGGGCTTCCCGAAAGGGCTATAAGTTTCCATATTTTTACAGAAGGTTTTAATACGTCGTTTGGAAGCCT